ATATCCTCACTCCTGTCCTTCTTCTTTCTTCCAGTGAATGAGTGGTTGCTAAAGTAGCCTCCCTTGGAAGAGCATGGAGATGCATGTCAGAGATGGGAAGCGGGTGCAGGACAAGGTGAGGGGGAGGAGGAAAAGATGTGAACCCAGGCTGGAGACTGCATCTCATCTAAGATTATTTCATGGCATTGTATAAAGACAAACAACACCGGACATTATCTGAATTAAGGAACTTTGCACTGTGAGCAAAGTTGAGAAGTGTTTAAACCCTCAATCTAACACATGCTGACATGTCCCCCCTCAACCCCCTTCGTATAATTATATCTCTACAGACATTTTGATACAAATACTTTTTTGGGAGGAAAAAAGACACTTGGAAACAAACTTAAAAACAATTATGGAAGCATTTTATTTGATAGCCTCCCAACTAATAGGACAACTTTGGGACTTTAATGTCTTTGTACATAAAGATGTTGCTATCAGTGGGAAAATTCAAGGACTAAGTCAATGCCCCCACCCTGCTGGTCAAGACAAAGTGCTCCACACGACTCATCCAGCCGTTTCATTACAGTCACCACAAGGCATGCAATCAGAAAAACAAAAAGAGGGACCACAGCCTTATCTTATCAATTTTCAAAATTAGTCACGTCATGGAAGACAAGTAACCAGTGTCTTGGCCTCATTTGTACATATTATTATTATCAATACTGCAGAAAAATGAACATGTAAAGAAAATAAAAGAATTAATATTCAAAAGATATATTAAGAGGATTTTTTGAAAAGATAAAGTTCAGAATGTTAAAAAGCTTGGCGCACTTTGAATTCTGGAGCAGTTCTTAGTCTGAACTGATGCCTTTTTTCTGTTTTTATTTTTTTTGTTTGTTTGTTTACAATGGTCATTCACTGTGTTTGAGTAATGTTATCAGCCCAATAAATGTGTCTGAAAGTTCACTTTGGAAAATGCTTCACTATATGAGGATCTGCCTTATTGTACCTCTACCTGTTTTGTACTGTTCCATATTAAATGTCAATATTACCCCACACAGGCTTTCTCAATGACACCAGCATCACAGAGAAAGCACAGAGAGAGGTCTGAATGGCATGGGATTGTCTTCTGCTGATACAGATGCAGTGTTGCCATTTCAGTGTTACAGAGGAAGCTCTGTCAGGGTTACTGTAACTCATCATCTTTTAAAACACATCAATGGTCTTCTTAGGACCAAAATGAGAGGAGCCTCCTGCCCTGAGCCTCTCTCTCATGCCTAACAACATGGTTCCAATCCACTTGAATCTGCCTCACAATGTTGTTCTCTCTACAGGAATTTCAAAAAAAAAACTTCCTCAGGACCAAACAACTGGTTTATGATGTGGTTATCTAATGTAGGGTAAATGGGTGGCTCATGTCAAAATATGGCCCTTTTCATTCCTTCTGTGGACAAATGCAGTATGATTATATGCTGAATAAGGTATAAGGAGTTTCCCCACAACAACAGCCTGTCCCAGACATGGCTCGTTATGGCTCCTCCTTCTTGTTCTGTTGCAATATTTAAAACTGATCCGCTGTCAAAAAATATCAAAGCGACAGTTATTTTTAATGGATGATTGCAGTCAACGCAAAACTTAGTGATAAATACAACTGAAGTCAGAAGTTTACATACACCTTAGCCAAATATATTTAAATTCAATTTTTCACAATCCTATAAACATTCCCTGTATTTGGTCAGTTACTAGGATCATGACTTGAATTTGAAATGTCAGAATAATATTAGAGAAAAAGATTTATTTAAGCTTTTATTTCCATCCATCCATTTTCTTCCGCTTATCCGGGGCCGGGTCACGGGGGCAGCAGTCTAAGCAAAGATGCCCAGACCTCCCTCTCCCCAGACACTTCCTCCAGCTCCTCCGGGAAAATGCCGAGGCGTTCCCAGGCCAGCCGAGAGACATAGTCCCTCCAGCGTGTCCTGGGTCTTCCCCGGGGCCTCCTCCCGGTGGGACATGCCTGGAACACCTTCCTAGGAAGGCGCCCAGGAGGCATCCGAAACAGATGCCCGAGCCACCTCAGCTGGCTCCTCTCGATGTGGAGGAGCAGCGGTTCTACTCTGAGCTCCTCC